TTCCTTTACGGGAGTCTCAAAGCCCAATGGAAACCAGCAGGTAAATGGGATTGCATTGATTTAGGATATGACTTTTTTCTTGTTCGTTTTCAGGTACACGAAGATCTTAGTAAGGTCATCAATGGTGGCCCCTGATTCGTTAGTACAAACTACCTCACTATCAGACCATGGGAACTGAATTTTAAGCCTGAAAATGCCACTTTCTCACACACAGTGGTGTGGGCACAGTTTCCGGGCCTTTCAGCAGAATACTATGACACAATCTCCTTGCAACGTATTGGCAATGAAATCAGAACTCTTCTCCGTGTTGATGCCCATACAGCACACCATACACGTGGACAATATGCTCGTGTGTGTGTTAGAATAGATTTGAATAAACCCCTTGTAAAGCTTCTTAGATTGGGCAAAATTCGTCAGAAAGTTGTTTATGAGGGGATTAGGGGACTCTGCTTTGCGTGTGGTCGAATTGGCCATCGCAAAAAGGTTTGTACCTTTCAGTCTAGGCCATTTGCAACTACTAGTGTCATCAATTTTGATCTCCAAAACCAAGCAAACATTAATGAAGATGCTAAAATCAATGTCACGGGTTGCCACAAGCTGGAGGCTTCAACCTCCACAGAAGGGGCAAGAGGCATCCAAGTTGCTAGCAACAATCATGTCCCTAACTACACTGTGGAGCCTAAGCATAGTCGGGAAAATCAATCTGATGAATTTGGTCCTTGGCTTATTGTGGAGGAAAAAAAAAAGAAGAAGAAAACCCAGAAATATGTGCTAGAATCTTCATCGGAAGGGAAAAGCAACGGGCCCAAGGTATCTAAGGGCCCCACAGAATCGAACCAAAGATCGGGTTCGATGAACCAAATGGGTTACAGTTCAGTCAAGGTTGGAAGAACTAACGGTACACCTGCAGGAGCATTTAATGTGAAAACTCAGTTCAAACCTGCTAAACAAACGATTCTAAAATCAACCGTTACCAACTCTACGTCTAACCATATGGATGTAGGCCCAAAGAGGGATTCCATATCTACAAGTTCTGCACCTATTGGGAAAGAGATTGAGGCCTCATCCAAGACAACAAATGAAGATCTTGGCACAAATGAGAATGTGGGCCAAAGCAACAACCCAACAAAGGCCATTATTCCAACAGAGACTATCTTTAGCCCAATGACTGGGCCTTGTAGACTTTTTTCCAATGCTCCAGCCAACCTTGAAGCTACGTTGCTCACTGTTAAAAAAAGGATTAAAAATCTTGAATCAAGTTCCAACTTTACTTCTGCACCATCAAATTCCTCTATTCTCCCAAAATCTTCTTCAGAGATCAGAATTGAGCGATCCAATAGCAGCTTCGCCAATTCCCCAACTCAGCCCCAATTTGAAAGTCCTACTAGTCAACAACAACAATGTGATTTCATTGGAGGAAGCCTTAGAGCTCTTATTGTCAAGGGAGGAGAAAATACACCCGTTATGGAAGGAGAGGGATCTATTCAAGGCTTGGCGCAATCCTCTCCTAACTCTCAAATCCATAGATCCTCATCCTTTTCTAAGCTCAGTGCCAGCTTTGAAGGAAGATTCAATAGCTATGGTAGATCAATGCAGTACTCAAAAGCTAGAGTTCACTACTGAAGGAGCAAGCATAGAAGAGATAAAGGGCCCTATCCAACCTCTGAAATTTCTAGCTTAGGCATGGCAGGAACATCTCCAAATCTTCGATTTAATGGGCAAGATGGAGACGATCCATGTTATCATCAAGCCCTCAATATTGCTGGGGACGGAGGAGATGGATTACGAATGCTTGATGCTTCCGTGTCACTTTCTGGGGGCCAAAATGATGCTGTTGCACAGGGAAACTCAGGAGCCGTTGTTCGACCAGACTCTAGCTAAGTTAGCCTTGGGTCTCTCTAACTCCTATTGTTGGTCAATGAAGATGCTCTCTTGGAATTATCGCGGTGCGGCTAAAATGGAGTTCAATAGGCGCATGAGAGATTTGAAGAATCAACACTCTCCCTCAATTATGCTTATTCTTGAAACAAAGCTCTTTGGCCATGATGCTAAGAAAGCGGCGGTTGAATGTGGATATCCTTGTAGCCATGTAGTTGATTCAGATGGTAGGGCTGGTGGTCTCTGGCTATTGTGGGATGATAATGAAGTGTGTGTCGATGTCGTCACCTCAACTTTTCAAGCAATCCACACAATTGTCCAGGTACGCTCTCACTCCATTTTCTCTAAATTTCACTGGTTTCTTTCTGGTGTTTATGGTAGACCCCAATTTGAGCTTAGATTTCACTTATGGGATGAACTACGTGAGGTTGCAAAATATTTCAATGGGCCTTGGCTTGTGATTGGAGACTTTAATAATGTTGTGGATCAGGTTGAAAATTTTGGGGGTGCTCCTATTAGTCAATCTCGTGTTCATGCTTATACTGACTGTATGAGTGACTGTATCCTCATGGATATTGGGTACACAGGGGTAGGTTTACTTGGGTTAATATGAGGGAAAATAACCATGTCATTAGGGAACGTCTTGACAGGGCTTGGGCTAACCCTAATTGGCGTCTTCAATTTCCTAATTCAAATCTTCTTCATCTCCCTTGTATTAGCTCTGATCATAACCCACTTCTCCTCTGTCTTGATACCCCATTGATGAGGAATGGGAATAGGCCCTTCAGATTGGAGAAATTTTGGTTAGATCATTTTGAGTTTCATGATCTAATCTCTCCTATCTAGTCTGCTCAAAATTTGTGCACGTCGCAATGTATTCAAAAAACCCAAACTTCATGTAGAATTTGGAGTAGAACCACTTTTGACAATATTTTTGTTAAAAAGTAGATTCTCAATGCTAGACTTAAAGGCATTCATCGTTCCCTCTCACAAAATCCTTCTAGTTTTCTTACTTCTTTAGAGAAGGAGCTTACCCTTGAATATGTGAAAGTCTTGAAATTGGAGGAAGATTTATGGTTTATGAAATCCAGGTCTAACTGGATTGTTGATGGGGACCGTAATTCCAAATTCTTCCATTTATCTACCATTAAGCATCGGAATCATAATAGAATCTTCGGCCTTCGTACCTCGTATGAGGATTGGATTTGTGATCAGCAGGCTATTATAGATCTTATCAGGAATCATTTTATGCATCTTTTTACCTCTTCTCTTGATTACTCTTATCATGATTCCTTCTCTAATCTAGGAGTTGGTATCTCGAAATCCCATGACTTAAGCTTTCTAGACAACCCTCTTACTGATGAATAGATACATAGTGCTCTTTTTGGTCTTAAGCCTTTTAAGCCTTCTGGACCTAATGGTCTTCATCTTGGTTTCTTCCAAAAAATGTGGGTTTCAGTGAGGAGTATTTTGTGTAGTGACATTCGCAACACTTTCTCCTCGGCTTCTCTCCTTGCTAAATGGAATGAATGTTTAATTACTCTTATTCCCAAAACTAAAGCTCCTGAAACAGTTCAGCAGTTTCGTCCTATTGGTCTCTGTAACACTACCTATAAAATTATCTCCAAGATTATTGTGAATAGGATGAAACCTGCATTAGATGATTTGATATATCCTTGCCAAGCTAGCTTTGTTCCTAGTAGAAATGGTATTGATAATGTGCTAATCCTGTAGGAACTTGTTCATTCCTTTTCTAAGAGGAAAGGTCGGGTGGGGGATATGGTGGTTAAACTTGATCTCGAAAAGGCCTATGACAGGCTAGAATGGAGCTTCATTAGAGAAGCCTTAACTTTCTTCAAGTTCCCACCAAAACTCATATCTCTTGTTATGAATTGTGTTTCCTCTTCTACTATTTCAATTTTGGTTAATGGTAATAAAACTGATGCTTTTCTTCCTTCTAGAGGCATCCGTCAGGGTGATCCTATCTCACCTTATTTGTTCATCCTATGCATGGAATACCTTTCTATCAAACTTTCCAATGGTATGGCTAAAGGCAAATGGAAGGGTTCTAAGGCGGGTAAGCGTGGACCTACTTTATCTCATATTTTTTTCGCTGATGACTTAATTTTTCTTGGGAAAGCTACTCTTACCAATGCACAATATCTTAAGGATACTCTTGAATTCTTCTGTTCTCGGTCTGGGCAAATGGTCAACAATGCTAAATCTAAGATTTTATTTTCAAAAAATGTTGATCAAATTACTAGAGACAACATTAGTCAAAGCTTGGGATACTAGCAGACGAATGAGCTTGGCAAGTACCTAGGCATCCCAATTGTGGCTAAGAGATGCTCTAAGGTTAATTGTGAATTTATCCTTGAGAAAATCCGCTCGAAGCTTTCAGGATGGAAAACTAAATTTTTCTCCATGGCTGGTAGAGCCACACTTGTGTCATTTGTTCTTGCCTCAATTCCAAATTACTTCATGCAGGTGATGTGGCTTCCCTCATCTGTCCATAAAGAAATTGACATAATTTCTAGGAATTTTTTATGGGGTTCTGTTGATGACCAACGCAAGATTCATCTTGTGGATTGGGATACTATTTGCAAACCCAAAACTCATGGCGGCCTTGGAATTCGTTCTGCTCGTAATGCTAACACTATTGCCATGAGCAAACTCAACTGGAGAATTCACACAGAAAAGGACAAAATGTGGAGAGAGGTGTTGGTTAAGAAATACAACATCAATGATCTCCAGTTTGCTCCTTCCTCTTCTGCCTTTCCAGTTCTTAAAAATTTATCTAAAGGTACTCCTCTTTTTACTTTTGGTATTAAATGGGTCCCTCGAAATGGACTTTCGATTTACTTTTGGATTGATCACTGGGTCGGGAAAGCATTTCTTGATTCTATTTTATTTGGTCCCTTAGCTAGAAACGCCTCTAAGATCCTTCTTGTGGATGTTTTCCAAGAGGGTGTTCTTGATTTTTGTTCCCTTTGTTTTTCTTTTTCCCCAGGATTTGGTTTTGCAATTCTTTGTTTTTCCCTTTTTAGGTTTTCTTTTTGTTTTTATTTTTTTTTTATGGAAGGAAGAATCCAATGGTATCTTCTCTTCCTCTTCGGCCCATAAAATCCTTACTTCTAAGGATTGTCAGGTGAATGATAATTGGAATTGGAAGTGGATTTGGAAAACCCCAACCCTCCCAACAATCCAAATGTTCTTGTGGTTGCTTGCTCCTGGCAAAATCAAAACTCTGGAGTATCTCCATCATCTTAGCATTGTCTATAATTCGACTTGCATGATATGTAGGAGATAAATGGAGTCTATTGATCACGTTTTTAGAGAATGTCTTCATGTTGTTGCTGTTTTCAACAAATTATCTCTTGCTTTTGCTAACAGCCATAATGCTATGAACTTTAGACATTGGCTGTTTGAGCATACTCACAATAGCTCTCTTAGCCCTTTTTTCAACATTCCTTTGGCTGTTATTTTTTGCTTTGCTATTTGGGTTCTTTGGAATCAAAGGAACCATTTTTTGTACTGTCATCAAATTGTGGATATTTAGAGGACTCATGACTTAATTATTGAAAAGGCCACTGAATATTGGGCATTTGCTCCTATTCCTAGTGCTGCACATAAACAATACCTTAGGTTTATCTCCTGGGAACCACCACCCTCCCTCTGGTTTAAAATTAATATTGATGATTCTACAGTTGGGAATCCAGGTTATGCTGGCTGTGGGGGAATTCTAAGAGATTCTAAGGGTCTGTGGGTTGTTGGTTTTTTGAGAAATATTGGTTACACTACTGCTCTGGCTGCTGAACTTTGGGCTATTAGGGATGGTCTATTTATTGCTAAAAATCTTCAACTGCAAAATGTTATATTGGAGACTGACTGTCAGGTGGCTTATGCTCTTTTATCTAAAGATCATAATCCTTTTCATCCTCACAGCATG